TCCTGATTAGTGGTCTGCAGCAGCCCAACAAATTTCAGGGACAAAAATATTAACAAATTTTTTCATATGAAGAAAAGATCGAAAAAATGGCACAACAAGTCAACTGAACACGAATGCTGACATTTACGAAACGAATTACTTGCTGAACTGAATCCAAGTTAGACTATGACCAGAACATATGAAAAATTATCGAAAGCATAAGCTTAAATTCCGCGTTTAAAACTTACCACTGGCATGGAAAGTGGTGCGTGGGCCAACACGATCGGCAGGCTGAAAGCACTGACAACGATGCCTGCTGTGACAAAAAGTGCAAAATCGTGCCAGGAAGCGCTAGTCGACTGATCCTCGTAACTTCCCGCGATGGTCAGCGGCAACGGACAGAGAAAATAAAAGATCAAAACGAACATTGGATACCAGTTGCTAAAGAAAAAACAAAATCATAAAACGAAATGACACGTTTAAATCCAAAGTAACATCAAAATTTAAGATTTTAGGTTGTTTCAAGCAAACTTTGCGATACAAAATAAGAGACACAAAATACAGTACTATAAAACAACAATATAAAGAAGTCTTATTTTCTGGCATCCGGTATTTTAAAAATCTACCAATTTCCTCGAGCAACGAGAAAGGAGAGAGCGATAGAGAAGACAATGAGATATGGTCTTGGTTGAGTCATGCCTTAACTGGCATATTCCTGCGTTTAAATATATTTTTGTGTTTACACGGTAGTAGCACATGAGGAGTACCAACTCCTGAAACATGGTACGAACGAACAAAATGATACGAGATGCATAAGACATCGCAGGAACTCAAACCAAATCATGAAACGTGGCCTGATAAAGGGCTCCCCTACACAATTATGAACAAGGATACGGTGGTGGTCCTGCGCGAAATCTAGTTATCGATGAGTCAATCGTTATTTAGTTAAATTCACTGTTACTACAAAACTAGCATCCGAGATAATGTGCTCGACTGACTAAAGATAGAAACGTCAAGAAAGCAGCTGACATCTAACGCTTAGATTGATTGCAATGGGGCTAAAAATAAAGATTTCAGTTTAAGATTTACGTGCGGTAATTAGCTAAGGAAAATTTAAGTATAAGCATAAATATAATGCTTAGTAAAGCACTATTAAGTGACTAGTATACTTTAATATATTCTTATTTAATAATTATGTTATTCTCTTAACATATCAATTACCATAACATATCGAGAAACCATAACTATGATGATTTGCGGTGATGTGAACTGGATGTCAGAGGAAAGACTCTCATAAAATATTTACATGGGATGCCACATGAAAGACGGTCCGGGCGAAGAAGGGCAACAATTTGCGATCGATTATCTGTTATTGCTGACATTGTTGAGCCTTGAAATCAAGTCCATCGAGCCCACAACACTGGAATGGTCAAAGACCATTGCGTAACTTCTTTAAGTAGCCACTCCGGCGACATGAAAGGAATTTTGGACATTAAAA